TCACTTGCTGTTGACAGTGGCCAACACTGACCTGAACACCAAGTGGGTGCTAGGTAAATATTTGTTGACTAAATACTGAATAACTGAATATTACTTTCTGTGTCTTAGGATTGGGGAAAGAGATGGGAAAGTTGAGAAGTGTAGATTATTAAGGCAATAAGGACTGAAGTCTTCTCATGGGCACAATGGAAATTATCACCTTAAACTGGCATTTCATTTGAGTTGAGTTTTCGGTACTTTTGAAATAGTACTCCCCCAACTCTTGGGCATCCTCCCTCACTCCCTGAGGTTTGAGTGGGACTGTTGATTATAATTTCCCACCTATCCCCACCTGAGGAGGACTCTCCACCCAAGTCTGGCCATTCAGGCCCCTTCCTGGTTTTTGGCATTATGGTGCTAGAAGAACAGAATTTCGGAGATAAATGAGGCATGGAGATATCTGCATGGAGAAAACCAGGCTGCATGTGAGAGAATGAGGCCAATGTGCAAAGAGAAGCAGATAAGCAGAGATGAGAGATGGAGAGAGAAAGAGACCAAGTAACATTATTTGAGACCCTACATCAACCATAACTGAAAATAAATCTACCCTTAAGTGTCCCAGCTTTCTGGGCCTCTATATTTCCTATTTGTCTAAGCTAGTTTAAGTTGTTTTTTTCACATATAACTAAAATAATAATAATAATTTTTTTTTTTAAAGATTGGCTCTGAGTGAACATCTGTTGTCAGTCTTACTCTTTTTTATTTTCTTCTTCCCCTCAAACCACTCCAGTACATAGTTATATATTCTAGCTGTAGGTCCCTCTAGTTCTGCTATGTGGGCCACCACCTCAGCATGGCCTGATGAGCGGTGCCATGTCTGTGCCCAGGATTCATATCTGCCAAACCCTGGGCCGCTGAAGTGGAGTATGCAAACTTAACCACTTGGCCATGGGGCCGGCCACTAAAATAATAATTTTTAATAGAGTACTCTATAGTAGATTTTCCAGATATACAAAAAATTGCATGGGACATACTTCTACTAAAAATTATTAATTGTTTATCTGAAATTCAACTTTAACTGGGCATTGTATATTTAGCTGACAACTCTACCCTACAGTGATATACAACAGTGTACCAGATGATGTGTCAAACCACGTGAAAAATGTAACACATGAGTCACTGCTGTAAGATGTTTTTTTAGGAAGGGATAAAGTTAAGTAATTTAACTGGGTAATTGGAAAATACTTTTATATTAAAATAACCATAAATAAGATATAAGCTGTAACAACTGAAATGATTGGTAGAGGTACCTTAACAGATCAACCAATGAAACAGACTAAGAACCCAGAAATGAAACAGAATTTATAGAAGAGTTTAGAATACAATAAAAGTAGTATTTCAAATTAGTAGGAAAAACAATGGATTATTCAACAACTGGTGCTAGGATAACTGGATTGCTGTTTGTGAAAATAAAAATTAGGTTAGATCTCTATTCCACACGACTTTAAAATGAATTCCAGAAAGATAAAAGATATAAACATGAAAAAAATGACACAATAAAAGAAATATAGAGAATATTAGAGAATTTAAAAAAAAATCTCAGAGAGGGGAAGGCTTTCTAAGTATGACATAAAACCCAGAAACTGTAAAGGAATAGATAAATCAGTTTGACCAACAGATAAAGTTAAAATTTTTTTCATGATAAAAATCCCCCCAAATAAAGCCAAGGCCAAACAACAAATGGAAAAATATTTGCAACTCATATTACAGGCAAAGTTAATTTCCTTAATGTATAAAGAGTTCTCCACAAATCAAAAAGAAAATAATGAGACTATTAAGACAAAGAGGCAAAGGGCATGAAAAGCCAGTCTATATAGAAGACGTAGACTCTTTAAGACTCTTAAACATATGAAACAATGCTCAAGTTTATACACAAGAGAAACACAAATTAAATTTATAATACAATGCCATTTTAACCTATCAGATTGAAAAGATGAAAAAGCACTCTCACCGGCTGGCCTTGTGGTACAGTGGTTAAGTGTGCACGTTTCCCTTCGGCGGCCCGGGGTTCGCTGGTTCGGATCCCAGGTGCGGACATGGCACTGCGTGTCAAGCCATGCTGTGGTAGGTGTCCCACGTATAATGTAGAGGAAGATGGGCACGCATGTTAGCTCAGAGCCAATCTTCCTCAGCAAAAAGAGGAAGATTGGCGGCAGATGTTAGCTCAGGGCTAATCTTCCTCAAAAAAAAAAAAAGCACTCTCAGGTACAACTACAATGGAGGGTGATTTGGCAGTATTTTTCAAAATTACAAATGCAAAGCTCTTTAACCCAGTAATTTCACTTTTTCTACAAATTTATCCTACAAATATATTTGCATATGTACGAATTAACTATGCACTGCAACATCAATGTAATAGCAAAAGACAAGAAAGAATTTGTGTTCATTGATAGAGGCTGGTTAATAAATTGAGGTGTATCCATACAATGAAATACTATGCATTTGTAAAATAGAATCAGGAAACATACGTTTATGTTTGCATATGCATAGTCTATCTCTGGAAGGATATTTAAGAAACTGGTATTAGAGCTGTGGCTGGGGAACATATTCCTTTGTGCTTTTCTAATTTTCCACCATGTGTATTAGTTACCTATTCAAAAATAAATAAATAAAATACATTTTAAGCGTAAAATACCTAAGGAAAAAGTGAAATATTGTGAGTTTTTAAGACACCACACGAGTTCAAGGGCATTTCAAGCTCAGGTGAACCCTTGGGATTTTGACCCTAGACCTAGGGAAATGAGGGTAACAAATGAATTCTCTCAGTTGCCTGGAACACTCAGAAGAAAAGTGTGAAAAGCACTACTTTACAAGATAATAGGGCCCATGGGCAAGACATGGGGGAGATACCCCTTGGAACTTGGAGGTAAGATCCCCTCTGAGTCCTGGAAAACAGAAACCACTCTAGGTATTTAAAACAGAGAGAATTTAATTCAGAGAACTGGTTATATATGTGTTGGCAGATATAAAAAGTGAAACAGAGAACAGTGAAGTAGCCCAGAGATGAGCAAGAGCAAGAAGTTACTGGCACCCTTACACTGGAGGGACCCTTACACATGAAGGACATCATGTTACCAGAGCCCGGGGGCTGTGATCATCTGCTAGAAGTTGGAGCCAGGCAGGTAGGAGGAGACAGCCTGAGGTTGGGGGTGGGGTGAGAATACTCTGTTTTTTCCTTCAATCCCTCCAATCTCCAAAAGTGCCTCACATTGATAGAGCCCAGCAACTCAGCCTGGCGGCCAAACAGCATAGGAGTCCAGACCACGCAGCCTTCATGTCAGCCCACCACCACTATACTGAAAAGATAAAGAGGAAAGATGACGAACAGGTTTGAGGCAAAATGGGTCCAGATCAGCACAGGGAGAAATTAGGGAAAAATCAAAACATAATTAATGAACCCATTCCCTTGAGAAGAATCGACTCAGGGTGCCTGCACAAAGGTGGGTTTCTAGAACTGCAATGTTAAGACCCAGACAGTACCCCCTCACATGTCCTTTATAGCTGGTTTGTCCAAACTAGGATCTAACCCTGGACAATACGCTACATCTGGTTGTTTTGTCTCTTAAAATATTTTAATCTGGAATGACACCTTTTCTTGACTTTGTGAAAGAGGCCAGTTGTCCTGCAGAATGTCCCACCTTTTCAATCTGTTTGCTGCCTTTTGCTTTCCTCTACTTTATCCTATAAACTTGATCAGATCCAAGTTAAACATTTTTGGTAAGAACACATCACAGTTGATAGTGTCTACTTAATGTTGGCATCTCAGCAGGAGACACATAATATCTGATTGTTCCATTAATAATGCTAAGATTTACTCTATTAGAGTGGTAAAGGCCTGACAACTTCATTGTGCAGCTAACTTTTCTTTTAAGACCAGGAAGTAATCTTTGTGGTACAGTTAATCTTGTTAGAGTGCAGTTTCCTCATCTGAAATGCGAATAATACTGGGTATTGAATAGATAAAATAAATTAATGCACTTAAAGCACCTAGGACATGGTAAACATTCAAATAAAGTAGCAATCATTATTATTTTGGTTGCAACTCCACTATCAGAGAATGTGGAGTAGGAGAATCAAAAGTCTCTCCTCCAGTTCCTAATACTTATATCTGTTTTCTGAAGGAGGAGTGAGGCCATTTTGGAATCTGATAGAGCAGGCTGGAAGTTTGGTGGTGTTGCTAGAACAGGTTATTTCTGTGGACAAGTTACTTCTATCAGTTTCCTCCAGTCTAAAGATAGCTGCCACGTGTGGAGGGCTTAGTATATACAGACATTGTACTAAACACTTTACAAGCATTTCCACATTTAATTCTGCCTTAAACCCCACAAGTAAGAATTATTACCCATATTTTTCAGACGAGGAAACTGAAGCTCAGAAAAATGAAATAACTTGTGCAAGCAGCACAGCTAGAAAGCTGTGAGACGGGACTCGAAACTGAGGATCCTACTATCTCCTGTGGTTAATGAGACTCAAAAAAGCGACGGTATGTAAATAGCTTGCGCCTGGCTTTACTGCCTTAAGAAACTCATTATTTCTCAGTTGTCACCTCCCCAGCAAGCTTTTCTGACTGTCTTGCTTAAAGCTGAACTCCCCTCTTCCCTGCTTCATTTTCCCCCTCTCCCCCAGTACTTGGCTCCACCTAACCTGCTACATATTGACTTTATCATTGTTCTCCCCAATTCGAATGTCAACTCCATGAGGGCAAGGATTTTTGTTTTGGTCACTGCTGTCTTCTCAGCATTAATAACAGTGCCTAGCACAGAGCAAGCAATCATTAGATATTTGTTGACAGAATGAATAACAGGCTTCCGGAAGCGTCTAGTCAAGATGAAACAGAAGCGGATTGAACCTAAGGCACCCTTGTTCCTCCCGGTTCCCGCCTTCCTATAGGTGGAGGGAAGGGAAAGGAAAGCCCCGCCCCTCGCTCGCCTTAGATGCGAGTAAAGCCTTCGCAGCGCAGCGCGGGAAGCGGATTGGACGACCCGGTAGGGTTTCTGAAGTCGCGCGTGACTCGTCGGTTTCTCGGCGTCGGCGCTTGCTGTGTGCGTCACTTCCGGGCGGCGCGGAACGGAGTGGTTAACGGCCTGTAGAGCACCATGCCCAAGTGAGTGGGGCCTGAATCTGGGGGTGTTCGCAGTTAAGGTCATGAATTGTGGCCCCGTGGGGGGAGCGCAGAGCCAGTTCTGGCCCTTGAAGCCTCTGGGGAAGCGCGAGGGTCTGGGGGCGGGAGGGAGACCGGAAGCTCTAGATACCCTTTTTAGAGTGTGGCGGTCGGCTCCGCGTAAGGCAACAAAAAAGCCTGATTTATGTCAGGACGCTCTGTTTGACGTCTTCGAATCCTGAGTAGGTCTTTTATTTTATTTTTACCTTCAAAGAACAGCACTTCGGTGGGTGGGCATCTACTAAGTGGTTGTCACCTTCTCTTTTTCTCTACCTTCCATCTCTTTCCAGGTTTTATTGTGACTACTGCGATACATACCTCACTCATGACTCTGTAAGTAGTGTTTTCAATTTCGAAAAATGTTATATGTAATAAATTAGGGTTTTCTTAAGGTGTAAGTTTGTGCTTTTCATCTTGCTGAGGTTTAAGCGCTACTGCTTAGAGAAAATAATTTGGGGTGTTTTCTCCCCACCCTTCCTGGAACTGTCTTCATAATTTGAAGTTATTAGTCTTCCAGTAGTGAGTGTTTTCAGTGGAAATCCAAAATAATAAAGCTGATTGATTAAATTGGAAAGAAAGGCCTAAATTTGAAAGTGGCTACTTTGATTAAAAACTGCTTAACAAATAATAACAGCAACTAAGATTGAATATTTACTGTGTGTCAGGCAGTGTTGCAGATGCTTTACATGTGTCATCGTGTTTAATGCTCATGATAATCCTATGAGGTTAGTATTATCTCCATTTTACAGAGGAGGAATCTGAGGCAGAGTGTGGACAAATAACTGACTGGATGTTGCAAAACCAGTAAGTTGAATAGAGCTGGAAGATAGGCCTAGCAGTCTAACTCCAGAGCTTCTATACCAGCAGCTCTCAAGCTTCCTGTCTCATGGTCCTGTTATACTCTTAAAAATTACTGTTATGTATAAACAAAAAATTAGTGAGTTATGTCTATTAATACTTGCTGTATTTGAAATTAAAATTTCATTAAAAAATACTTAGTAATTTAAAAGTAACAATAACAGACTTTTTACTTATAACGCAAATAACATTTTAACAGTGAAAGATAAATGTTTTCCAAAACAAAAATTTTAGTATGAAGAATGATATTTTTTTAAGAAGAATTTCTTTTTTTTTAAGATTGGCCCTGAGCTAACATCTGTTGACAGTCTTACTCTTCTTCTTGCCCCCAAAGCACCCAAGTACATAGTTGTGTGTTCTAGTTATAGGACCTCCTAGTTCTGCTGTTTGGGATTCTGCCTCAGCATGGCTTGATGAGCGGTGCTAGGTCCGCGCCAGGATCCGAACCGGTGAAACCCCGGGCCACCGCAGTGGAGTGTGCAAACTTAGCCAGCCGGCCACAGGGCCAGCCCCTTGAATGGCATTGTTTTAACATTTTTTGGAAACCTCTTTATGTCTGACTTAATGGAAGATGGCTAGATTCTCGTCCTCTGCATTAAATTTGTTGCACTGTGTTGTTTTGGTCAAATTATTTGAAGAATCCAGCTTCACATGGATATATAGTTGAAAAGAAGAGAATTTTAATAGCCTTTTTAGATAATTATGAGTGTTCTTTAATACTTTATATTACTGTACCAAAATCCAACACGTGGTTAATTGCAGTATGGAATCTGAAACCATATCAAACTTTCCACACTCTGTTACATTAAAATTCACTGGTCTGTCTTGCACTTCGAGTGGATCTTTTATTATGTATGATTTTGTAACATGCTTTGGTCATTTGGAAAATATTGGTTTACTCAGTTATGCAGGTGTTCTAAGTGGTGACACGTTTAACTATGTAATATAAAAAGTCAGTCGTTAATGTCATAGTCTAATCAGAAACGGCTTTTACGTATTGGGAGACTGACAAGCTCATGGTGGCAGACCAGGTTTTCTGAAATTCTAATTTGTCTTTGAAAGCTTAAACTTTATCATTGGCAACAAATACTATCTATTGTTTTCCTTGAAGTGACAGGCTCACTTCATTTATCTTTGAGAAGTTTGAATAACCAGTTTGTTTCTCAATTGGTTTCAAGTAAAAATGATGTTCTGTCAGTGAAGCAGCTGGTAGAGCTCACAACTTGAACAATTGCATGCCTGCTTTTCCTTGAAATAGCATTATATTTTGGCATGCAGCAGAAGCGCTTTGTATTTACTTCCCATTTGTCACCTAAATATTAAAAAGACATGAACTCAAAGGTTGAGATTTAATAAAATTAATAATTTTACTGCTTCATCAAGGTGTCTTAGTGAAACTGGCCTTTTTCCCCCTGTAAATACATGAGATTGAAAAATACAGTGATCACTAATGCATTGGGTTGTCATTGCCTTGATTCATTCTAAAGTGCCAGGAGTTTCGCACCATCAGTGCAAATGTCATTACAGTGAAAAAGGAAAGTAATGGCTTAGTTTTATTATGAAATTACTTTGACCTTGCAGACCCCCTGAAAGGTGGTTCTAAGACACCGTTGGGTATCTGTGGGCCACACCTTGAGAACTGCAGCTCTCTACCTTTCTACCTGTGCAGAAACCCGATTAAATCAGAACTCTTGGTTATTTTCATCTTGAGTAGTAGCTGCAGGAACCTAGCCAATGATTTCTTTGTTTTCACTTCATTTGGAATTCTTTCTAACACACAGCCAGATGTAGTTCAGCATTAGTGTATTTGTGGAACATGTTAGTAGGGCAGTTCCTCTTGAAGAAAAATAGTTCTGAATAGTATTATAGGTCGTCCCGGAGGAGACCCCCTCCATTAAGTTGGTATTGGTGGTAGCGTGCCTGTAGATCCCCAGTCTTGTTCTTGTTTTGTTTTTTCTCTAATCTCCTCTCTAGGTCAAACACCTAGTCATAATTTTCTGAAGTTGTTAGTAGGAGACTATGCCTTTCTATCCTTTTTCAGCACTAGATTGTCGTATACCCACTCATCTTGCTGATGTCAGAATTCAGAGAATTGAAATGTCCCTCTTTATAATAAGTGTCTACGAGAAACATCAGGAATCCTTGTAATACTGTTGTTCTATCATGATATCCTGTGAAAACAGTAGGAAATTTCCATGATGGTTGAAGCAATTCCCTGTGGTCGACTTTGAAATGTACAAAACATTCAGTGCTGTAATTTTTGAACTTTTGCTTGTTCTTGGGCATAATTTTGTTATTACGCTTAAGGCTTCCTTGTTGTGTTAGTGTCAGCAGTGGTTTGGGAGACAGGGAAAGACAGTCTTTGTTCACGTAGCGTTGGTCATGTCTGCTGCTGCTGAAGCAGTCCTATGAGGAGCGGGTATACCAGTAGGAGGTAAGTAGGCAGCCATGAGGAGCGTCTGAATGAGACCCGGATTCCAGGCCTTGGCTTCCTGTTTACCAGCTCTGTGTTTTGAGACAAGTCCTTAAGCATAAATAGAAGATAATAATCTTGTGATTTTTTTCCATCAATTTTGTTGAGTTGTAATTTGTGTTCAGTTAAATGCACACATTTTAAGTGTCCAGTTTGATGACGTGTCAAATGATTACACCTTGATGTATATATACATCAAGATAGAGAACATTTCCATCATCTCAGAAAGTTCCCTCGTATTCCTTTGCAATCTCCTGCACCCCTGGCCCCTGCTGATCTGGTTTTTATTACTAAAGATCAGTATTACTGATTTTAAAGCTTGATATGAATGGACTCTTACAGTATATACTCTGTGTATGTGTGTCTCATTTCTTTTGCTTGGCATGTGTTTGAGAGTCATCCACTTTGCATGTAGCAGTGATAAGTTCTTTCTGATTAGTAGTCCATTGTACTGTGCACTTGTGATTTTTATAAAGATTGAGACACTGTTTGTAAAGTACGTAGCATGGTGTCTGGCTCATTGTAAATGTTAACTTAAAAAAACAAAAGATTAAGTGTGTAGAGTCTATTATATGTCAGTTTTACCTCAATAAAACTGTTTAAAAAAGAACAGGGTGCTGGCCCCGTGGCTGAGTGGTTAAGTTCACGTGCTCTGCTTCGGCAGCCCAGGGTTTTGCCAGTTTGGGTCCTGGGCACGGACATGGCACCGCTCATCAGGCCACATTGAGGTGGTGTCCCACATGCCACAATTAGAAGGACCCACAACTCAAATATACAACTATGTACTTGGGGGATTTGGGGAGAAGAAGCAGTAGGAAAAAAAAAAGATGGGTAACAGTTGTTAGCTCAGGTCCCAGTCTTAAAAAAAAAAAAGGAACAGAAGGATTAGTAGGGTAGAGACAAAGGTCAGGATGTGATCGTATAGAGTCTATATTCTAGAGTCATAGTCCTTTAAAAGAATATATTCTGATAAACGGTGTTATTTAAATGTAGGTAAGCCAGGTTATTTTGCCAGGAAATGACCTAAGAAAGGGCATTAAAACGGCATTGTGTTCTAGATCAGGGGTTTGCAAACTTTTTCTTAAAGTGTCAGATTGTAATTATTTTAGGTTTGTGAACTATATGGTCTTTTTGCAATTACTCTGATGTTGTAGAGAGAAGATATAGACAATACATGAACCAATGAATGTGGCTGTGTTCCAGTACTTTTTTTTTTTTTTTTTTTTTTTTACAAAATCTGGTGGCTGGCCCATGGGCCATAGTTTGCTGACCCCTGGTTTAGATAATAAATATAGTAGATAAATTACCACAATACATTGTTGGATAATGTTTACAAGTGATGCTTTAGCACTGAGCTAAAGCTGCTGAAGGTGGCCAGGCTACCTATGTAAAGGTAAGGCTTTATAAAATTTCTAGTTTTGAAAGTGTGTTTCTGTGACATGACGTTTTTGTTTTACAGCCATCTGTGAGAAAGACACACTGCAGTGGTAGGAAACACAAAGAGAATGTGAAAGACTACTATCAGAAATGGATGGAAGAGCAGGCTCAGAGCCTGATTGACAAAACAAGTATGTTTCAGTCTCCTGTTCTGATGTGGTAGAATGGTCCCATTCTTTCTTGTCCCTGTCTCTGTTGCTTTTCACAGAAGCAACTCATTCTGAATGGTAAATAGGAGCATTCTGGTGTGTTGAATGAAAGAAGGGGAAGGTCATTGGTTTCCCAGGGATATATGAACACATTAATATTAATTATTGGGGTTAGATCAATCAGTTATTGGTTAGACTGGGAAGTTGGGTAGAGAAGAATGAGTTGCCTAATACTTTTTATTGATGTGGACCAGATTTTGTAGCAAATTTATATAAAACCTCCTTTGTCGTGATCCATAGTTTTTAGGACTGTTTTCCTGTTAGAGTAGGAAAAGGTTGGGGGTGGGTTTGTAGGTATCTTCGAAGAGTTTGAGAGACTTTGAGTTTCTTATTCTTTGTAGTCCTGGCAAAGATAACTGATCAAAAAGGAAGTAACTGATGTGCTAGAATAGTCTGGGTATGCTTTGGACTCCTGTGGTACCTGCCATACTCTTTGTTTAGGAACGCTTTTGTTGTTTAGGCTAGTTGAGTCCAAGTCACTGACAGAAGGACATGTTGCCTTTCTACGTTAGATCATCCTGGTGTATTCGAAATGTGGCCTTTTTTAAACCAATTATTGTACTCAGAGCTGGCAGGCAAATGTGGACTTTGTGATGTGATTTTTTTCAAAAAAGCCAAACTATTATGGAAAATTCCAAACAAAGTAGAAGTTTAATGAATGAACCTCCATGGCTGCTCCTGCCCCTGTTCCCTTCACCCGGCTGCAGCAGTCTTGTTTTATGTATACCACGGTTCTCAGACTTAGCACTGTTGACTTTGGGGGCCAGATAATTCTTTGTTGTGGGGGCTGTCCTCTGCATTGTAGGATGTTCAGCAGCAGCCCTAACATCTGCCCACTAGATACCAGTAGCAATTCTCAGTTGTGACAACTAAAAATATCTCCAAGCATTGCCCAGTGTCCCCAGGGGGGCAAAATTGCCCCTGATTGAGAGCCACTGAATATCTTCATCTACTCCCTTTCTCTCTCCTGGATTATTAAGGAGCAAATCTCAGAGATAGTCTCATTTCATTTGAAAAAATAAATTACGTTTTTTTTCTCTATTTGAGAAGATGTTAGAAATTTCTTAGTATTAATAGTTAACATTATATTCGTTTAGTTATTTTTCATATGCAGCAGAAGAGTTTAGGATGAGTAAGCATTTTTGATGGAAGACTTTTGGAGGAGAGGAGGGGAGTCCTCAGGGACACACCTCATCATGGCCATGATTGTGTTGATATTGAGTCTGCTACTGAGCCAATGGCTTAGCCACTTCCTCTTCAGTCTTTATAAGCTGTCCTTGTACACAGAGTGTGGGAGGTGCCTTTTTGACTGGAAAAGCTCTTATTGGGATATGATTCCTTATAGAGTACAGGCTCTAGTCAGAGGACTATAAATAGCTGTTCCTAAATCTCTGCTCTACGTCAGTTCTTTGGATCTGGTTCTTATTAATTATCAGTGATTTACCTGAGTGATTTGACCTCCTTTGCCCTGGTAGGGTGGAGCGGAGTGGGGTTGTGCCTGGGCTGTGGACTGCATGAATTAGGTAGGGCTTACATTCAGGAATAGACTTTATGAGTGTGTATTTAGTATTTATTTATGATTCCTTTCTAAAACAAAATATAAATGATCTTCAATTTCTTTTGTTTTCATTTGTGTCTCATATTGTCTGAAAGAAAAATTAAAAGTTGATTGTATTGGACATTTTTTAAGATCATAATCCGCCTCAGAGCAGGCTCTTGCTTTGAGATCTTTGTTCCTTTCACATCTCTTAGCTCAGTGCCTTAATTTCAAAACTGGTAAACCAAGATGGTGTGTTGTTTTGACTCAGAACAGCATGTATAGGAAGGATAGAAGTTTTACTAAGCTTGGCCTTTGGGCAGGTATTGCACATTTTTCAAACAAAACTATGAATGATTTGAATTGGTTACAAACCACATCTGTATTAAAGATACGTGCTTCTCTTTGGTAAGACATTGATAGGTGGGAGGTTTTCACTCCAATCTCCCAGAATTAACTCAGCCAAAGAAAGTGATTATTTTAGTAAATGGGTTGTTGAATTCTTATTCACTGTGTGTGCTTTTTTTTTCTCACTCTCTCCAAAGCCGCTGCATTTCAACAAGGAAAGATACCTCCGACTCCATTCTCTGCTCCTCCTCCTGCAGGGGCAATGATCCCACCTCCTCCTAGTCTCCGTAAGTTTATGAAGTTTTTATCTTAAGGGGTGTAACTGGGCAGATTATCTTTTTTTGGGTGAGGAAGCTTGGCTCTGAGCTAACATTCGTTGCCAGTCTTCCTCTTTTTGTTTGAGGAAGATTGTCACTGAGCTAACATCTGTGCCAATCTTCCTCTATTTTTTGTGGCTGGCTGCCACAGTGTGGCTTGATGAGCAGTGCTAGGTCCGCACCTGGGATCCGAAGCTGCGAACCCTGGGCTGCTGAAGCAGAGTAGGCAAACTTAACCATGACACCACTGGGCTGGCCCCCAGGTTATTTTTTGATTTTGCTAGATTATCTCACAGTTGGCTTTCAAATGCTCATTGAATGAATACATAGATAGTAATAGAAAACAACTTTAGTGGTATAATTTCTGAAGGATCTTTAGAGTTATCTTCTGATTGCATTATTAGTAGGATATTGTATTTGTGGCATCCCAGGCATGGATCTGAGACAGATTCAGTGGAAAGCTCAGAATGTACCTGTGATTAGATGAGCTCATATATGAAGAGGTATTGCTGAGTACATTATTTATTGTTGCGAACACAACACTGGAGGATTGAAGTAGCTGGTAAACTCCTCAGTCTTTCTTCCTATTTTCTAACCTACCTAATACCAATATATGTATCTTGTGAATGATGGGAATTGGATAGTCGAAAGTGAAGTAGATCAAAGGTCTCTTCTCTTTGGAGTTTTGCTGTTTCTGCATGGCAGACAGGAGGAGATTGAGTAACTAGGTTTTAAGTTCTTTGACTTTCCTGGGAGGGTTCAGATTGAAATTAAACTCAGACCTAAACTCAATCCTATGAGTAATCATGGGTATAAATACATTTCTCTGTATTCTCTGTAGGCTGTTTATAATATTTGCACACTAATGCAGGTGGACCGCTCATGGCCCACCAAAGCCTTCCTGGGCTTCTGCCATCCTGGGACCTGGTCAGGTCTCTGCTCACAGCAGCTCCCAGGTCACCTCTCTCTCTCTATCCTGACTGGCTGGCACTCAAGTCCACTATTATTATTATTATTATTATTATTATTTAGTGAGGAAGATTGGCCCTGAGCTAACATCTATTGCCAATCTTTCTTCTTTTTGCTTGAGGAAGATTGTCCCTGAGCTAACATCTGTGCTAGTCTTCCTCTACTTTGTATGTGAGATGCTGCCACAGCATGGCTTGACAAGCAGTGTATATCTCTGTGCCCAGGATCCAAACCTCTGAACCCTGGGCCACTGAGGGGAGCATGCAAACTTAACCACCGTGCCACCGGGCCAGCATCTCAACTCCATTATTTTTAACAGCAGAGGTCTATGGTATGAATGTACCGTAATTCACCTCACCTTTTCTTGTTGTTGGACATGTAAGTTGTTCCAAATTGTTGCTATTGTAAATGATACTGTTAGGAATACTTCTGCATATACATGTTTGTATTTCCAAAGAATCTTTTAAACCTAGGTTTTGATTTTTTTTTTCTTAAAGATCTGAAATTAGGTACTTGCGGCTTATGTACATCAGCTTTTTTCTTAGGAGCTCTGCAGAAGGTATAATACCCCCTTTTTAAAAATTAAACTCTCTTAGAATTTTTTTAACCTGAGGAGCCTGACTTAATTTTATACTTCTATCTAGGCAGGCTTGTTCTTGCTTTTTGGTCATAGAGTAACTGAAGATTTGTGGCATGCTGATTTTTTTGAATCTTCTGTTAGAAAAGAAACCATGAGGAGTCTTTTGTTACAGAATTTGGACCAGATCATAAGACCCTATTTGTTTCATTAAGAACAGAAAATGGTAATATATAAGTATATCTTAACCTCAGGCCCCATTCTTTATTTCAGCGGGTCCTCCTCGCCCTGGTATGATGCCAGCACCTCATATGGGAGGTCCGCCCATGATGCCAATGATGGGTCCTCCTCCTCCTGGGATGATGCCAGTGGGACCTGGTAAGTTTGAATCTCTTTCCTTCTAGGATGCTCCATTGTCTTGTAATTCTCCATTTAAATGGAATTCTTAATTAGCTGTCTAAATGTGTTATTGCAACAAATTACATTTGGTGAATCTGTAATGATAAAGAAAAAGAAATATTTGGTTTATCACTCTAATTGGATGGTATCCAAAGAGCATGTGCTACTAAAAGTGGGGTAAGGCTGCCTCTTTTTTTCTTCTTCTCCCTCCCTCCTGTTTCCTTGACTTCTCCTGACTTGTGGCCTTTTATAACGAAGAGAAAGATAGATGAGCTTGTTCCGCTGGAGGATAGAGGGAAGGGTGGATATATACTTGTGCTGCTACTTTTCTCAGTTTTGATTTGGAACAGAGCTACCTCCTATTGCTGATTTAGTCTTGCAGCTTAACTAGGCCAAATTAGTACATGAAAAGGGTCTTAGGCGTGGTAGTCTTTTATTCAGGACGGGGGAAAAAAACTTACACCTCAAGCATTTTAACATAAACTTAAATGTACATTAATTTGCAAATTTTTCTGATACTTTGTCAGGGCCGTTGCTTTGAGAACGAGTCTCCTAATTGGAACACCATATACTTCTTGCATGAACCAATAAACTACCCATAATGCATCCTTTACCAGCTGTAGTTTCATTTTCTTTGAAGTGGTTAGAGACCTTGTGAGGCACTCTAGTTCCAGTCTTTTATGATCGTCTCACCTACCAAATCTGTGAGCACCTTTTAGGGATGATTTGCCTCAGTCTAAGTATCAACTTAGTTTTAGAGAAGCAGTTGTTTTTTCACACTCATATTTTGTTGGTTTGAAGAATAAATTATGTAATTAGAGTAAATACAGCTGACATGAGAAGCCTACAATTCAGCTGGTAAGACAAGGTGCAAAGAAAGGTATAAGAGTTGCTTCCCAGCCAGAAGCATTCAGTGTGCTTGCTGTGGCTATCACTTAGAGGGGTGGGAGAGTATAGATAAAAAGAGTTCCTGCCTTACTGGCTTGTGAACCCAAAACACATTCAAAGTGACTTGGATGGCTTCTTTTGCATTCTTAAATCAGGGTCACAAATTCAAATTCCTGGAGGGGTTAGGGTTGTGGTGACTGGGGAATATATGACATCTAAAGAAGGCTTCTAGAACTCAGCTTCAGCCTGTGGTTGACATTTGAGAATGCAGGCTTGGTGTTTCCACTTCTCCACTTATATTGTCTTTAACGAGGATAAAATAGTAAGATTATGGAATTTGCATTAAAATAATTGAGTATTTGGGGGTTGGGCAGGGATAAGAATGGATGGGGATAAGATAAACAAAGTTGGCCATGGGTGGATGATTGTGAAAGCTGGATGATGGGTACATGGATGTTCATTATACTTTTTTCCTATTCTTGTGGATGTTTGGACATTTCCACAATAAAAAGTTGAAAAAAGGAATCTAGACTGACTTATTAGTAATTAGACTTATTAGTTGCCAACTAATTAAAATTAAATGCACTTTGGAGACCAAAGAAAACAAGTTTATAGGTCCCTTGTTTTCAATCTTTGGTCTAGATCAGTTTTCTCTAAGAAATGCTGAATATAGGTTATGCTATGCTGGGATTTTTTAATAAGATATTTATAAGTTTAGTATTCACTGTTCTTGTTGAAATTGATCTTAAAAAAATTCTGTACCTGTTGGATTTTGTGTCTTTTATATACTTGTATTTTACTTTTTGTGATAGGCTATATTCAGATGTGAATATAGTTTTCTCTTGAACCATTTATTGCAAGCCTTTAATCAAAACGATTTACTTAAAAATAAATAGGTAAAATTTTATTTTTTCCTTTTTGCTGAGGAAGATTAGCTCTGAGCTAACATCTGTTGGCAGTCTTCCTCTTTTTTTGCTTGAGGAGGACTAGCCCTGAGCTAACAACATCCATGCCAGTCTTCCTCCACCTTATATGTGGGTCGCTACCACAGCATGGCTGACAAGTGGTGTAGGTCCGTGCATGGGATCTGAACCTGCAAACCCAGCCGCCAAAGTGGAGCACGCTGAACTTAACCACTAGGCCACAGGGCCTGCCCCCTAAAATTTGATGTTTAGAAAGACAATATGTAACATGAAAATGAGGCATAATAGAATGAATACCTGTGAACCCAACACCCAGCTGAGGAAGTAGAACATTACCAGTTCTGTGAAACTGCCTGTGTTCCTCCCCATCCTCCACCTCTCTGCTTGCCCTCCCTTCCCTGGCTCATTTATTTGGCTGATGTATTGATGAGACACTTTAAAAAATTCATTAATACTTCCTAAAATGCGTTAGAAAAATCAGATTTTTGTGTGTGTGCTGATTGTTATAAATCACATTATTGCCTGTTATTTTTCTTGACTTGAGCTAAGTATGGTTACTGACAGGTTCCCAGCATGGGCCTCCTGCTCACCTTTCCTACAGCTCCGACCAAACGCTTAGTGGTAAGACTGTCCTCTGTGCCTGTGTACATCCATGAATAGCTCCTGGTTATATGGTGGATAGAGCTAATTAAAAGAGCTGACTGAATAACATGTGACTTAGTTGAGAATTTCCCTGAGTGAGTAAAAAAGATCAGTTTAGGGAACTAGTATCTGGAAAGCAGTGGTGGTTTCTGGCAAACAGTCTATTAATAGTTTCCCCCTTACTATCATTAGATCATGATTCCCATATGGTTCTTGTGTTGACCTTTTTGTTTTTTGTTTGAGAATGTCTAAGTAATTGACAGATGTGATGGATTTGTTGCATTTCTTCTGTCCAGTATGTCTTTTTTCCAGCATTTTGCAGGGGGGGCTACTTTTTTGTCTTTAATTAGAAAGTCCCATCAAGCTCTCTCATAAGTAGTATTTTCTGACTCTCCTTTTTCCTTTTCTTTATTTTGTCCTGTAGCTCCTGGAATGAGGCCACCTATGGGAGGCCACATGCCAATGATGCCCGGGCCCCCAATGATGAGACCACCTGCCCGTCCCATGATGGTACCCACTCGTCCAGGAATGACTCGACCAGACAGATAAGGAGAGAGGGGAGCCTCTTTCTATCGTTTTATATTACTTGTTCTACTTCACCAGGAGATCATGGTGCTGTGACTCTGGGTGTTTTCTCACAGCCTGACAAGGAAGACTTGCTCCCTATCCCATCAAAGAGAGAATCATTTTGGAGGGGAGTGGTGGGACAAAAAAAGCAGCGGTTTTCATTTGTATTGTGAAATGTGAAAATAAAATTGTCAGCTCTTTTAGTTAAAAATGTGTTCCTTTTTTTCTCTCCTCTGTATTCTTCGTGTATTATAAAGGAGATGAAGCATTTCAGTTGTGTTTCTCTGGCTCATTCTCTCTTTAGCATGCCCTCTGCATGACATTCTTTTCCCTTAGCTATAGAGTAGATCCCTTTGGGCACCCTGCCTTTATTTAGTAAAGTTCTCTTGTACAAGACTTGGGTAAATCTCACACTTGTAGAGCTTTTGTTGATTAAAATAATAAACAGCACAGTTGGTTAATTTTTCATGTGAATACTACTTTGTCTAGTAAGTGAAAGATTTTAAGTCTTTTATGCTGAAGTAGGGAAAAAGACTTCACAGTGAATGCATGTCAGCCAAAAATGGCAAGAATTGCCTTAACTTCAGCTTCTTCTTTCTCTCAGCTCCTCTTTTTCTTGGGTTTCAAATAATCAGAAAACTTTCCTTTTTTTTTTGAGGAAGATTAGCCCCGAGCTAACTGCTGCCAGTCCTCCTCTTTTCGCTGAGGGAGACTGGCCCTGAGCTAAGATCCGTGCCCATCTTCCTCTACTTTATCTGTGGGACGCCTACCACAGCATGCCAGCTTGCCAAGTGGTGCCATGTCTGCACCCAGGATCCGAACCAGTGAACCCAGGCTGCTGAAGCGGATTGTGTGCACTTAACCGCTGCGCCACCAGGCCGGCCCCAGAAAACTTTCTAATAGCCATGGTAAAATTATACAGATTTCCATGGTATACAAGGTGTCTTCAGACTATCATTGTTATATCACTGGGCTAACGTAGAATTTTTCAGAGAAGCACCTAGGAAGTAAACCATTGGCTTTGGTTCATGTTTAGCTCAGTGTAAAATCTAAACTCCTATTTCACATTGAAAATGGGAGTGAAAATTGTTATAACCTCCAGGGAGGGCAACTTGGCAATATCTGTCAGAATTACAATACCTATATTCTTTGACATAGCATTTCCACATCTAGGAATTTATCCTCTAGATAGACTTGCACATGTGCTAAATGACAAGATTATGCATTGCAGCAAAAGACTGGAAATAACATAGATATCCAGTGAAAGGGGAATGATTTGTTAAGTATGATATATCCACAAAATGGGATATACCATGCAGATTAAAACAGAATAAGGAAGCTCTACGTACTAATGGGGAAAGATCTCCAAGACACACATTGTTCTGCACCTCAGTTTATTCACATAACAATGTATTGTTCACTGCTGTCCTTTTTTAAAGGAAATATCCGTATGTGCCTGTGTATGCTTAAAGGATCTCTGGAAGGGCAGATAAGCAACTGGTAATATTGGTTGCTCATGAAGGATGAATGGTTGGCTAGAGGACAGGGATGAAGGAGAAAGCCTTGTCACCTTTTTGTAGCGTTTGGATTTTGAATCATTGTTTAAAAAACACGACAAATCACCTTTGCCACCTGAGGTTGTTGTTATAGTGATGTTATGGCAGAGGGTGCCCTAAACCAGCAGTTTACAACCTGGTTGATGATCAGAATCATGGGGGACCTTTTTCAAACTAAAGATTCCAGATTTTATTTTATTTTTTTTCCTTAAAGATTGGCACCTGAGCTAACAACTGTTGCCAATCTTTCTGTTTTTCTCTCTGCTTTTTCTCCTCAAATCCCCCCAGTACATAGTTGTATATTTTAGTTCTGGGTCCTTCTAGTTGTGGCACGTGGGACGCTGCCTCAGCGTGGCCTGATGAGCGGTGCCATGTCTGCGCCCAGGATCCGAACCAGCGAAACCCTGGGCCACTGCAGTGGAGCATGTGAACTTAACCGCTCTGCCACAGGGCCGGCCCCAGATTCCAGATTTTGACTCAATATATTTGGAGTGGGGCTTAGGAAATTTGCATTTTAGGAAAGCTCCCTAGGGAATTTTGATTATTAGTGGGTTTGGCAAACTCTGTCTTAGGGATCTGTTCTACTCAAGAATATAACTCTGTATGTATGTGTGTGTCTATAATTTTTAAAAGATTTGTAGCTAGAAATTGAAATGGCAATAGGTGGGTTTCCTTTTTTTTTTAGAAACTTGTGAATATTTTGAAGAGGGGCTAATTTAGGCAAATAAACCACCTTATCTAGGTAAAAAAGAGATCTGAAATAGAAATCCTGACAAAGAGATGATCTTTATGCTCAGCCTCTGTAAAAGCTGTCAGCTTCCTAATCTGAGCCTTTGCCAGGACTACTTGTTGCTTTTTAGTTTCTCGGCGTCACATCTTTTTAAGAAGGACTTAAGTCTTAGAAATGATAGTTTATATATCTGACTTTTATGGCTCAGATTTGTTATTAAAACCTGCTGCAGACCTAAGAGTTTGTTAGGGGAAAGCTTGCCAACTGAGCTTACATGAGACTCAGCAAGTTCTGGTTGGATGGCTCAGTCAGGCTCAGGTGTATAAACAGAAAGCCCACAGTCAGGCTCAGGTGTATACACAGAAATCCCACAGATAGCTATTTAGGTTTTTAAAACAGCCTCAGGTAGTTAGGAACAACCCAAGTCTTCCTAAAAGGAAGCTTTTTCTAAAGTGTGTTTTTGAGGTTGAATATCCATTCTAGAAACATTTCTAGTCTTTGAAGAAAGTATTTTACGTAGTTTAAGGAAAACAATACCATGACTTAAAAGTTGGACAAGCTTTAACTACAATGAACAAAAATAGGAATAAATCATTCCAAGAAGGTTCTTTTTGTGTTTTTATTCCTTCTAGGATGAACTATTATTAAAATGATTATAAGACATTTCCTTTGTAAGAGGCTATGAAGACGACAAACTATTGATTTATGCCTGTAGACATCTGGTTTTAATTCTAAAATATGAGTCAACTATAATGCGAGAGTTTGTATAGGTACAAACAAGAGTACCACTAGATGTGAAGAATTGAAGAAGTCAGTGTAGATGGGGTAACATACTTGCTTCCTTTGCTGTGAGCAGATAAAGCCATCAGGAGTTCAAAGTCCAAGCTGTCATCATTTCCACTGCTGTGGCTTTAATGGTTTGTCAGAATACCAATCCCCTTGATTCCAAGCTGCATGAGAAATGGGATCCTTGCGTAGAGCCACAGGCTAATTTGGTCATCCTATATGGAAAAAGTCCAGTGGTGATTAAGTGTTTGTCCCGATTACATAGCTCCGTCAGATGGTATCTTTGAGGATCCTAGATACATTTGGTGAAGAGAAGAGAAAAGCCTGGTGTACTTTAGGTTTCTCTGACACAGGTGTCCTGAAGGCTTGCCTGGTATATTGTTTTTCATGAAAACCTTAATAAATATTAACTAATTGGAAACATTTCTTTCCTGCCCAGTTGAAAGCTTAGGGGTTAGACTTTCTGGCACAGAATCAAATACAACATGTAGAATAGTTCATCAGACAGACGCAGGAATAAAGCAGTCTGAATGTTGCTTACTGACTGTCCTTGCTCTTTAGGGATTGGAGGGGATTTCAAACTTTAGAGAAGTTGCAAGAACTGTACAAAGAGCACTTATATGCCCTTTGACCAGAATCACCTCTTGTTAGCATTTCATCTCATTTGCTTTGTTATTATTTTTTTCTCTCTCTCTAAATATATCCTTTCTTTTTATTTTCTGAACCATTTGAGAGTAAGTTGCTTATATCATGCCCTTTATCATAAATACTTGTGACTCGTGTGTATTTCCCAAGAATAAGTACATCCTCTTACACAACCATGGTTTAATTATCAAGCTTAGAAAATTCTGGTTGGATGGCTCAGTCAGGCTCAGGTGTTTGAACCTTGATTCAATAATTTAATCTACCCACCATATTTTATTTTTGTCCATTGATCCAACATTGTCCTTGTACTTTTTTCCCTTTCCTGTACAGGATCCTCTCTGGAATCGTGTACTTTGTTTTTGGTCACAACTCTCTAGTTTCCTTTAATCTAGAACAATTGCTTAGCCTTTCTTTGTCTTTTATGACACTGTCAATCTCCCCAGCTTTTGTTTAATAGAATGTTCCTTACTCCTCATTGAGTTTGCCTGATGTTTCCTCATGATTATATTCTGGTCGTGTCCTCAGTTGTGTCCCTAGGCTGTCACATCTGTAGGCAGGCACACAGGGTCCATCTGCCCCTCATTGGTGATAGTAATTTTGATCACCCACCAAAGTGATTGTCCAATTTCTCCATATTTGTTCCTTTTGAATAGGTATCTTTCCCCAGCTCCCAATTAAGAAAAGCCCATTGAGTTATGTCCTTATCTAATGATAAGACTTTGAACATAGCATAGGAAGTCAACATCTCAAACCCGTTTCTAAGTACTTAATCAGCTTTCACAACAACCCTGAGAAACAGGTCTCCTAATCCTTCCCCTATTTTCTTTGCCTGTACATTACATCCTAGTACTTTTGGGCAATGGTTGTTGAAAAAATAGAGAAGTAAAAGGACAAAGAATTTTACCTCTATACTCAAATGCTACATTTTCCCCCTTTTCATCCCTTTTATCTCTCAGGCCTCTGTTGATAGAGTGAAGCATGTAAAGAGGGACAAAAAGAAGAGTAATGCAGTAGAGCCTGGAGTGGCAGGCAGACATTACTAATTGCCCACCTCAGTGTCTATAACTGTCTGTGATAATAACAACCCTTAATTTTTATCTGGGTCCATGGCCATCTACAATGAATAGCCCATTTCCCATAGCTTGTAGCTAGGTAAGGCCATATGGCAATTTTCTGTCCTTTTTCTTTCCTATTGACAGGAATGTGGATATGATGTTTGAAATGTAAGCAACATCTTAGACCACAAATTAGCAAGTAAGGATGGTGGCAAGATAGAAGGAACTTAGGTCCCTCGTGATTGAAGAGCTGCTGTGTACTGCCTACCTTAGAGTTCTTTTTTTTTTTTGAGGAAGATTGTTGCTGAGCTGACGTCTGTGCCAGTCTTCTTCTATTTTATGTGGGATGCTGCCACAATGTGGCTTGATGAGCAGTGCTAGGTCTGTATGTAGGATCTGAACCCATGAACACCTGGCTGCCGAAGCGGAGTGCGTGAACTTAACCACTGTGCCACCATTCTGGCCCTTAGACTTCTTTTATGTGAAAGAGAAATAAAC